TCGTGTTGGATGCAGAGCTAAGCTGCAGGGTTTCTTATATTGGTGTACCTTAACGCGGGTTCCTTGCAGGATAGATTGTTGAGGTCTACAGGCGTATCTCTGCGTCTTCCAAATCTTGACTTGGAGCCTAGGGCCTTCTTGACTTGGCAGCTGTGGAAGCTTTGTACATCTATTCAAGCTCCTGTCACCCCCTGATAGGAGCCTCAAACTACTTTGTCACGGGACATGGGCCAGCCAGGCAGGAAGAAAACCTACACCCCGAAACCCCTGAGCTTCCGAACGGGATCTCTGAGAAGCCTGGTGAGCTCAAGAGCTCAAATAGTGATAGTGCGAATGATGAACCGAAAGACGATGCCCTGATCCAAAGCCAAAGGGCAATATGAACCCCAAACCTGAAAGTCCCAAATCCCCGAAGCCATGCCCTGAACCCCAAGGCTTAATACCACTCATCTCTTGCTTCTAGGGGCTGCGATACTCTACCCTGAACGAGACCTAAAAACAAGCAAGGACGCCCAACATTGCCTCTAGACTCTTTTGCTCAAGGGGCTGCACGGGACCGTATTGCAAGCGGGGCATCTTCCCAACGTAAGCATCGCCTTAAGAGGTCTCTCAGAAGGGCTTCAGCTGGGATCGAGGTGTTGCGGCTCAAAACTTATTAGGGGTTATCAGCACGTTCAAAAGTGTTCTATGCGTTGTTTTAAAAGGGTTCTGTGCAGGTTTTGTAAGGGGTCCTTAACGATTTTATGAGGATTCCGCAAGGGCTGTGTGAGGGCTCTGTTAGAATTTCATTTTGTAGGGCCCATGGTGCTGACGGAATATGCGGACTTAGTCTCGTGTGTGCAGGTGCAGCTTGTAGGTTCCAGGTATTGACGACCATACCGACGAACTATGAATGAAACTGCAAGTGGGGTATCGCGCTTCACGAAGAACTACGCTGCGGTGTTGAGGCATTGGTCGAGCGATAGCCCATTAAGTCAACTTTAATCATCAGACGGATCGTCGAAGTTGCAGACTTGGCTCAGTTGGGCCGAAAGTGTAGGCTCCCAGTAGATAGCACAACGAGGCTGGCTGGACCAAAATCTCACATGCTGATATCGTGATCCTGGCAACCTACTTGCCAAGGCTCCTGGCAAAACGAGAGGTTGTGTTGGGATAAACTCGAAGCAACAGGAAGGCTTCGGCTGTGCCTTCCAAGGCACAAGACCCTTCAAGCCAGGCGAGCTCTACTCTGGGGGAACATTAAAGACGGGTGGCTGTCCACTTGGTCGAGGAGCCAGTTGGCGAGGTCGGCATATCTCGGAGGATTCAGACCTAAACCCTCGAAGCCCCAAACCTGAGCCCTAGAGTAGATCCGGACGCCCTAAAGCTAAACTCCAGGCCATCGATAAACATAAACACGAGAAAGCCTAAATCCTCGATCCCGAATCCTGACTTGGGGTGAACCCTGGGACCGGCGAGGGTCTGCAGCTTGCAATAGGAGTGGAGACTGTCTGGGCTCATCTGGGGCCTGGGCCTAGGGCCCAAAACTCGAAACCCGCCTATATCTCCGGAACCAGGGATGTTTGTTTGAGCCCTTTAAAGGGGTTTAGGGTTTAGGGGTTTAGGGGTTTAGGGTTTAGGCTGCTTTCCGACAATCAGGCGCACATGATTTGCTGTCTATAAGGATCCGAGTATGAAGGCTCCCCTGTCTCGGAGTGGCACGGTTAATCTACACTAAGATGTCGGTGTCGATGCCAGCATCTTCCAGCTCTCTTCTCGCAGGTCGTGAACTTCAGAACCTAAACAATCCCAAAGCCACTTTTGCCTCAAGTAAACAATCATGCACCCAGCCTCAAACCTCGAAGGCAAAAGCCCGAAACAGCGAACCTCCCAAGCTCAAACGTGACAGCCTTAAACCTTCCATCCCGTAAGGCTTGTGAGTCATAGCAAACTCTTTAGAAACGCTCGAAATCCCGAAGCCTGTATATAAGCCTAAACTCGGTCTCCTTGCGCGGCCGGACATGAGTTTCGGGCCGAATACAACTTGCCTGAAAGGCATCGAGGTTTGGAACCAATGCCTCAGCTGAAGGAGGGCTAGGGCTCTAGGGCTCTGGGGCTTTAGGCTCTAGAGTTTGGGGCTTCGCTTATCTCGGGAATTTTCTCTTGTTCGGGCCTGCCCGAGGAAATCTGAGCCGCGTAAGCTCCTTGTGATTTCTTGCGTTCTGGTATACATTGGTGGTGCAGAACGACAACCAAAGTGGGCAAGATCTAAAAGCTGGTGCGTTTTTGCAGGTTCAGGGTCTTGAAATTTAGGTTCTGGTGACGCCCTAAGCATGTAAGCCCCCGAAAAGCATGTATTAGTAAGTCTTGCAAGCCTTGGTGGGGTCCGGAGCTCTAAATATTCGTGCACAATGCTCTGAATAATGCTTTATCCCTATAGCTCTGAGAACACTTCATCACATCTGACTGACTTCGACTCTGGTTTGTTAGCAGGATCCGCTTCTCACCGTGATGGTAAGAGTGGGAGCAGAAGCTGAAAGAGCATTCTGATGGCGACCGGAATCCTGAGGTCCTACACTTCAACCACAGGCCACGGGGCCTAAAAGCCTGACATACGACAGATTTGGATACGTCCAAGCCACAGCCCGACGTTCTCCTTCCTGCAAAAGGGCAACTAAGGAATTCGGATCAAATTGCCTGTAATGGGGTTGGGACTTCCCTCGCGCTTTACGGTTTCGGGGATGGTCCTTAAAGCACCCAACCCCAAACCTGAACCCGAAAATCTCAAGCAGGGCGAAGGGCAGAGTCTCAAAAGTTTTATGCGCTTTGGAAGCTTGCGGTCATAGCGCGTCGGGGCACAGCTTTTCATGAACCCATCGACTTACTGTCTGCTTCGGGTTTGGTGGCACATTTTACGACGCCTCATAACTAGACGAAGTTCCTTTAACATATTTATTGAAGGCTCAGTATTTGAGGGTAGATTGAGGCTCGAGGCTTCCAAGCTGTATTGAGTTAGGTACTCGGGACTGAAATAAGTGTAGGCTACCTGATTCTTCTGTTTTGGCAATTAAAGGTTAGAGTTCTCTTCTGTGTTGCAAGCCCTCTCTTTATGCAGAAAACTCTCGGCTCGTTTGGGTTCGGGCTTGAGCGTGCAGCGCAAACTACCGCACAAGATCCCCATGAGAGACTGCTGTGGACAGTGAGATAGTGGAGGCCACAGACCTGAAATTATAAGACTCCGAAACGCAATGTCCAGTGCTTCAGACTACAGCTTTCTATTTTCGAAAATGGAATCAGCTAGCTGGCAAAACTTAGACTTAGCAGATACTACCTTACTGTTTTACACAGGCGGGCATACACAAGTCTGTGCAAGATACTACCTTACTAAACTCTACACCCTTAATCTTCTCCCGACAACCTTTTACACCAGGGCTGTGCGGATGCCAGGAACCGACAACCTTTTGCAACAGGCTTTCCACTTCGCTTGGAGTAAGGCTGAGCCGATCAACCGCCTTTGAAACCATGAAACTCTAAACCTTCCACCCTAAACCCTGGACTTTTAACGTCAGGGTCGACATGGTTTGCCTCTAACCACACCGGCCGAGCCACAACCTCGACGCCGCTTTCAATTTTGTCAGGCTGAAAATATGGGCAGAAAGAACTTGGATAGGGTTGCCCTACGGGTTTCTAAAGAGCTCACAGTCTAGAGGGGCTTCGTTTCAGGTTTTGGGGGTTGCGGTGTACGATGCACACGCAACTCTAATTCATGCCCATATGTAGTCGTTACTCCACATATAATGGTATCCGATACAAAAAAGAACATATGCTGACGGCCGAGTAGAACTAAATTATGTGTGATCCGGACAGGAAAAGCAGCGCCATGGGCACCACTAGGAGCCCCTGAATAACTGCAACATGCAACACATCGATGCAGCATACCACACGGATTGAATTCGACTTCTCCCCCAACAAAGCGCAAATCCTATATAGTTTCGAAGATCACGGGAAAGCCAAAGTCCAATGCTTGGGCCCGCGAAATCCCCTGGTCGACCTTTTTCAAAAGAATGGCACTACCATTTGCCGCTAATCCACAAGCACAGAAAGCTAAAGCTGTCAGCCCACGAATTTCCAAAGATGCAACCTTTGTTTTTGACACGCTTTTCCGACTGTAGTTGCTGATTTCAAGTTTTAAGGCTTAGTGTACAATCAAAAATTCAACAGCCGACCCTTCTTACTTTCGGCTCAAAGCGTTCGGGACCCGGCCCATGGAACATCTCGGACCTGCTGATAGAGGTACCTGTGGCATCACTCGGGTGCCCAGTATCCTGTCACTCAGATCCGACTTCCGAAAACCGAAGCATTATACCCAGGATGGAAGCTCGACCACGATCACTGAAACTCTAAACCCTGAAGCCGTCATGAGTCTCCCTTGGCTCTGGCGCAGTGCTCGAGGCTCCCTCGTATCCTGTAATGCAACAGCCCATTGGTTGAATAGCTGGACCTGGAGCCTTAGTGACTTCTGCTTTAATCCCGTAGAGGGGAAGTGCCAACTCCAAGACACCCTCGTTTGCGGCTGGCGGGCGACGGCTTGACAGCTTTTTACCGAATCCCTGAACCTCACACAAAAAATTACAGGGCTTAGGGCTTGAGGGTTTCGGAAAAAGAGCATGGGTTTAAAGCTTCGCAAATGATGTTGTGGATTCCTCAATCCAAGCCACTTGTGGCACAAAGGGATGCGCATAACTAGGGGCCAGGCATCCCAGGTAAGCCATGAATACTACGCCAAGGCAGGAGACAGAATGACTTGGCTCAGGAGTGGCTCTTACATTCTTAGGCAAGTTGGACTAAAGGGGGCGAGCAGGTTCGAAGCCAATCAGTCTGCGTCTACCAGGCAGAATGATTCTGATAATTCGGCCGGAGGCCGTTGAGGAACGGAGGCCTATTGTGGGCACGGCGACTTAGGCGGCTTGCTGGGGTAAAGTTGTGTCTGGGGTGGAGGAGTCCAAGATTCCTGCAGCACTCTACATTTCGACGTTCAGGCTAAACATGAAGGAAGGGTGACTGCCTGCCAAAGCTCCGAACAAGGGGCACATAGCTTGGGTAGAGAAACTTCTTGACCCTGTTTCTTGGCATCGTTCTTCTGTAGGCTTCTGCACCGTCTTCTGCTGCCGTCGCCAAGACACTGCCTCGTCCCAGGCCTGCTTTACAGCCTGGTTCGAGAAATCCTGGGGTTGTATGAAAACGCCCAATTTTTTGCCTTTGATGTAGCATTGGGCATGCCAGCACTGGGCCTTGACATCCCACGTCACACCCTTTTCAGGGCCAAGCTTCTCAAAACATCTCAGGTCTGAGAGCTTCCTCACCGGCAGCACCTCGATGTCAGGTTGAACCCCGAGCTGCGCAGCCAGCTCCCTGGCCTTGGCCTCGGCTTTCTCTTTGGCACGGAAACAGCCACCATACACTTGCTTCCTCGTCACCGGATGATACAGCCGAACGTGCCACTTCTGTTGACTTCTGTCGAAAAAGACGCCCCTGACTGTTGAGCGGAGGGTCGCAGCAATGGGTTTGGGAGGCTTCAACTTGCCCTGGTGCACGAGCTCCTCACGGTAAGCCTTCGCTTCCTGCAGCGCGGCCTCGACAGCCGCCTCATCTCCAAGGCCCTGATCAAGGAACTTGGAGATGGGGAATGACCGACATGTATTCTTCCATTTCGTGCCATTCCTGGTGAAACACTGGCATTTCCAGGATCCTCCCACCACACTCCAGGTGATGTTTTGGATGCCGCTCTGGCGCTCGAGTCTTACTCGAACCCTGTGAGGCTTGAGCTGATGAGAAGCCTCAACTTGCATTTCTGTAGCGACTTGGGAGCCTTGCACCTGTGTGACCGAAGGTGCTTCTGTGGGCAACATGAGCTGGTCGACTGCCTGCTGGATTTTCAGCCAAGCCTTCCCAGCAGCCGCGCCTGCAATGTCGCCAACCTTGTCCTCAAACTTGGTGATCTTCTGCTGCACGAAATCTAGGACATGTTCGATGGCACGACAGTCGAATTGGTTCATTCGCCACACATAGAGTACGTGCAGCAACAACGACCGTACACGTCCCTGCAGATCAAGATCCGGATCGCGCGATTCCGCAACAGCAGTAGTATCTGTTTCAACGTCGCTGAAAGTTTCAGCATCCGCGCCGTCTGGCTTCGCGTCTCTGCGAGGAGCGGACAGGCAAGCTGCAGCCAGGATGACGATCTCCGTCAACTCTGCTTGGCTCAGGTTCCACCGAGGACGCCTTGCGGCCTGCTCTGCTTGCTTCAAGCGCTCCAGCTTCTGAGCGTCGGATAGAAAACCCCACTCATTCATCTTTCTGAACAGCGTGAGGTGTTGGTCAGCCCGGGCAGATGCACAGATAGCTGCCGCATGGGCCGTTGTACCGGCTTCACAGGCATGTACACCTTCGCGCAGCTCGACTTTCAGTTTGTCTGCAGAGTCATCATCTGTAGGAACCACCCAACGATTTTCCTCTGACTTATTGCATCGACGGCGCAACTTCCGAAGACTCTTTTGTAACTGTCGTTCTGCCTCAGTCCAAACCTCATCGGCCGGTCTTCTAGGGAGAGACTGGATAGCAGCCTGCATGTCCGATAGGACACCTTGCAAACGAGACGGCAGTAGCGCATCATCCATCTTGTCCATGAGCTGCTTCAAGAGGTTCAGCTCTTTCACTTCGGGTACCCGTCCCGTTGGTCCGTAGGCGATCCAGGAGGCCACGGGGGCAGCATGCCTTCGCAGGGCTGCCTGGTCGAAATGGTCTGCTTTCTTCCAGTACCTGCTGATCCTGAGCTGCCCGTTCAATTCTCAATCTTGTCTGTCTCTTGCTAGTGCTGCCACTCATACCACTTGGTAGTCCAATTCATATGTCACGTTCATCGGTAGGGCTGCTCTCTCAAGAACGGGCACCTGCCTGCAGCAAGAGACCTCCTGCCTGCTATCACGCATACTACTCCAACTGTCACCGTCACCTCTAGTGCTACCACGATGACGACTCCGAAGACTGCCGCTGCAAATCCTACTGTTGTCCACTCCGAGTATTAGTGGTAACAGCTGGGCACTTCGTTCCCTTGATGATGTCTCTGCGGCGCGAGGAGCAATTATCAAGATGATCTGTTCGTGTTTGTGGCAGAGGTGCTTGTGGTGGCTGTAGTAGTGGTGGGGTTGTGGGGCTGCTGTTGATGAAAACACTGGCCAAAGCATGAGGCAAGTGTGTTCCTGTCGCCGCTGCTGGTGTCGTTAATGATGCCGCCCTCGCTACTCTGCTGCTGATGATTAATCGCTGTTGTGCTCGTGATTGTTGTCGTTGCAAATGGCATGTGACGGTATCGAAATGGTTGCTGTTGGCTTCGCGGTCTTTGTCATTTGTTTCTGTTGTTGATGTGGTCGTCGTCGTTTGCCGCTGTTTTGCTGCTGGTGGTGTCGGTGATGGTATGGCTGCGGTAGTGGCGGTCGTGTTCTCAAGAGCACTGTTTGTCCGAAGGATCTCGCAAGCTGTACTTGCTTATTGCCTTATTGCTCAAATGCCCTATGTCACCGACCGTCCAAAGAAACGCCCAGCAGCACCACCGACTTGTCTGAATGGCGGTGATACTGGCGAGCATGTCTGTGCAACCGGCAGATCTGTGATCGGACCATGGCGGCTTCGGACGAAAGCAGTTCCATTCCGGAGCGGATGCAAACTCTGCGACACCCTAGATTCAGCTATCGCTGATAGTAGCACCGCAAACTATAAAAAACGCGCCACTCAGTCCGCTCCAAGTGGGCGGATCCTACCTTCATGTCACGAAATATGTTTCGTCAATGCGCTCTGAAGGTCTTCGAAGTCTCGGTGAAGGGGGCAATTTGGCGAGCAAGTCCGAATGGCAAAACATCCTTCTCTTTCAAAAGACCCTGCACCCCCCAAAATATAATACGTAATCAGCAAACAAGAATCAAACACGCGAAATTTAGGAAGGCCTTGTAGCACATGGTAAGAGACTGTGACATAAGCGGCTTTCACACCCATGGCTCTGCATCCCTAAATCCCAATACCAGCGGGGTGGAAATGCTGCAAACAACTTGGCCTGAAGCTGTTGCAGAAAATGATTCTACTGCGGTATGGCGATTCAAGCGGCTTACAGGAGCACAGCTACGTCTGGGGTGGAAGTGCTCTTCAAAATTCCTGCATGTAGCTGGAGATGTTTAGCCGGGTTCCAACATGCAAACCAGTCTACAGCAGCTGTCAACTCGCAACCTCTAGGTCTGGTGTGGGATGCAAAAAGCAGAGGCACTGTTTGTGTGTTGTTTAGCGGCATCGTTCGCAAAGCAAATCTTCTTCGCCGCCTTATGCTGCCGTCGCCAAGACACTGCCTCGTCCCAGGCCTGCTTTACAGCCTTGTTCGAGAAATCGTTGGGTCGTGCTAAAAACGCCTGTGTCTTGATTCCGGTATGACATTGAGCACGCCAGCACTGATTCTGGACATCCCATGTCACACCCTTTTCAGGGCCAAGCTTCTCAAACCGTCTTAGGTCTGAGAGCTTCCTCACCGGCAGCACCTCGATCTCAGGTTGAATCCCGAGCTGCGCGGCCACCTCCCGAGCCTTGGCCTCAGCTTTCTGTTTGTCACCGAAATATCCGGAGTTCACGAGCTTCTTCGTGACGGGATGACACAACCGCACCCGCCACTTCTGTGGACCTTGTTCAAAGAAGACGCCTCTGACAGTTGAGCGGAAGGTTGCTGAGATGGGCTTGGAGGGTTTCAAGATGCCTTGATGCACGAGCTCCTCGCGGTACGCCTTTGCTTCCTGGAGTGCCGCCTCGACAGCAGCCTCATCGCCATGGCCCTGCTCGAGGAACTTGGAAATTGGAAAAGCGCGAGATCGGCTTTTCCGTTTGATGCCATTTCTACAAACGTTATGACGGGAGGACACATAGTAACGACATGTCCAACATGCTCCCACCTCGCTCCAGCTAATGTTCCGCGTACCGCTCTGGCGCTCCAGTCTGACCGCTGGCCTGTGACGGCCGCAGCGAGCGGCTCCAATTTGGGCTCCTGAGCTTGGAACTTCTGGACTCGATGGGGCCTCTGCATGCTGAAGCATCTTGTCCACTGCTTCTTTGATTTTTCGCCAAGCCTTCCCGGCAGCCGCGCCTGCAATCTCGCCGACCTTGTCCTCAAATTTGTCGATCTTCCCTTGCACGACATCGAGGACATGCTTGACGGCATGGCAATCAAATTGGTTCATCTGCCACACGTGGAGGGCATGCAGCAACAACGACCGCACCCGTCTCTGCAGATCTGTTCTCGCAACCTCTGAGTTCGAAGGTCGGTCTTCGACCGGGCTTTGAGTATCAGCACCTTGCGCCTGCACCTGTTTGCGAGGAGCTGCAAGGCAAGCTGCAGCCAGGATGACGACATCTGTCAGGTCTGCCTGGCTCAAGCTCCTCCTCGGGCGCCGTGCTACGTCCTCGGCCTGTTGCAAGCACTCCAACTTCTTGGCCTCATCCAGAAAGCTCCACTCGTTCATCTTTTTGAAGAGTTTCAGGTGCTGATCAGACGAAGCAGACATACCCGGAGATGCCAACTGGCTCACGTCACAGGCAGGCAACCCTTCGTGCAGCTCGACTTTCAGTTTTTCTGCAGAGTCATCATCTGTAGGAACCACCCAACGATTTTCCACTGACTTATTGCATCGACGGCGCAACTTCCGTAGGCTCTGTTGTAACTGTCGTTCTGCCTCAGTCCAAACCTCATCGGCCGGTCTTCTAGGGAGAGACTGGATGGCAGCCTGCATGTCCGATAGGACACCTTGCAAACGAGACGGCAGTAGCGCATCATCCATCTTGTCCATGAGCTGCTTCAAGAGATTCAGCTCTTTCACTTCGGGAACCCGTCCCGCTGGTCCGTAGGCGATCCAGGAGGCCACTGGAGCAGCATGCCTTCGCAGGGCTGCCTGGTCGAATTGGTCTGCTTTCTTCCAGTACCTGCTGATCCTGAGCTGTCCGTTCAATTCTCAATCTTGAATACTGCTCCTACTGTCACCGTCACCACTGGTGACTAGTGCTAGATACCGACTCCGAGGACTGCCGCTGCTACTCCAGCGGCTGTCTACTCCGAATGTTACTAAGGAAGGCCGGGCACTTCTTTCCATTGGTGATTTTGCTGCGGCACGAGGAGTATCATGATGATCCGTTGGTGTTTTTGGCGTCGGTGTCGCGGACGATACTGGCTCCTATTGACCTATTGTTAATGTTACTGTTGTATTTTTAATCGTTCTATGCTATTGTGCCGTTGATTGTCGTCGTGGCTGTCGTTGCCAGAGACACGTGACTCTGTCGAAGCGGCTGTTATTGTTGTTGCTGTTGCCATCGTCGTCGTATCTGTGATTGGCATTGTTGTCATTGTTGTGGTTGTTGCGGTTGTTGGGGTCGTTGTGGCTGTCGTGGTGATGGTTGTTATCGTTGTTGTTGTTGCTGCTGCTGTTTGGTGCTGCTTTTGCTGCTGCTGCTGCTGTTTCTGTTGCGGTTGTTGTTGCTGTTGCTGTGGTTGCGGTTGTGTTTGGTGTTGTTGCTGTTGTTACTGTTGTTGTTGTGGTTGTGTTTGCTGTTGTTGTTGGTGGTTGTTGTGGCACGTGCGTCTGCCGCTGCGCAGGGTGGATCGATTTCCGGGCTGGCAGGTGCTGAAGCTTGACGAGTTTTGGCACGTTGCTGCTTCCGACATGAATGTGTGTTTTCAGAAAAACATGGCCAGTTTCCGGGCTGCTCTGTGCACAAAAAGTCTGTGCTGTCCATGTCGCATCGTTTTTTTTGCGGTGTTTTCCTGCGCGTCTCGCATTTTTCATCGTTCTTTTTGCGGTGTTTTCCTAAAATTTCCCGCGCCGCAATGCCGACTCTCGACTTGTTACACGTGCCAGCTTGGACTTCCATTTGTTTTTGACCTCCGCGCAGTGGTGGGGAGAGGGGGGGGGGATGGGGAGGGTTGATGCCGTCCATGCAAGTGCGGCCTACATGTACTGTTTCTCTTTCTGCTCTGTGCATTGGTGGGGCGGGGGTGGATGAGGGGGTGAGGGTTATGACGTCCATGCGAATGTAGCTTCTGTGTTGTGTTTCTCTTCTTGCTTTGTGCTTTGCGCATTGTTTGGGGGATGGGGGCATTTCGCATCGGTTTTTGCGGTGTTGTTTTCCTAAAATTTCCGGGCACCAATGCGCCGACTCTTAACTTTTGCGCATGCCAGCTTGGACTTCCGTTTGTGTTTGACCTCCGCACAGGGGTGGGAGAGGGGGGGTATGGGGGGTTGATGACGTCCATGCGAATGCGGATTGCATGTACTGTTGCTCTTTCTGCTCTGTGCATTGGTGGGGAGAGGGGCATGGGGGGATGTGGATGATGCATGTTGATTTGCATGATGTTGATTGTTTATGCGGAAGATGACAATGGCGATTACGATACCAAGGGTGACAGCAACAATGACACTGTTGCTCCCGTTGCCCTTTTCTAGGCTCTCCGAACAACAACTTCAAAAATGGATCCAAAGCTCGAACAACAAAAAAATACGATACGCACGATATTTGCGCCACTTTCGCAACAAAAACACCTCACCAACAAAAAACATAACACCAAATTGGTGAAAATACATGCCACAAAACATCGCCCTGTTCACGAAAACCATACACAACTCGAGATGTTCAGGAGTTTGGCCAACAAAAACCTCCAAAAACAAGGTAGCACGTGCGTCTGCCGCCGCGCTGGGTGTGTCGGGAGGATTTTTGGTCACAAGCTGGAAAACTCTGAGTTTTGTGTGGTTTTCGTCAACGAGACGATGTTTCGGATTTGTTTTCCCATGGTTTGTTGGTCTTGTTTTTTGGCTACGAAAATGTCGCAAACACCATGTTTTGCGTCTTTTATCTTTGATATTGTTTGGGGTTCGTTTCGAAGTTTTGGTTTGGAAAGCTTCAAAGACTCGAAGTTTTTGCATTGTTGACGTTTCGAAAGTGAAGCAACAAGAAGCGGCAACAAGGGCTTCACAGAGCAAGCGGCAGCGTTTGAGAAGTACCGCAACTAAAGAAACAGAAGACACAACCCGCATTCGCATGGACGTCATCACCCCCCCCCCCCCCCCATCCCATCCGCCACTCCCGCAAAGGGCTGAAAGACGAAAGCAAGTCTAAGCTGGCATGTGCAAAAAGTCGAGAGTCGGCAATACCACCGTAAAAACCGATGCGAAATGCGACACACGCACACACACACACAGACACAGAGGAACACATTGAAAAAAGACGATGCGAAAGGGAAAGCTCAAATTTTTTTTGTACAGTGCAGCCAGCCGGCTGTTGCACTTTTTGCTCGAAAACACCACAGAAACCGATGCAAAAACAAACCGCACTAGGTGAGCAAAGTGCCAAAACTCGAGCTTCAGCACATGCTGGCAAAGAAATCGCACCACCCCCGCGCGGCGGCAGACGCACGTGCTGCCAAAAACAATGACACACCCCGCGGCGGCAAACGCATGTGCAACTTGGTTGTTGTTGTTGGTGGTGGTGGTGATGGTAGCGGTGGTGGTAATTAGTGGTGGTGGTGGTGGTGGTGCTGGTGCTGGTGCTGATGCTGCGGTTGCGGTTGCGGTTGCGCCTGCGGTTGCTGTCGCGGTTGCCGTTA